TTTCTTTGAACTGTTTCTACTACTTCTTAACACTTAAAAAAAATTTGACCAACAGTGGGGATTTGTTTTCCAGCAATTTAAGATGTTCGTAGTTAAGGAAGCAAATTTTTTTCCTTGGACTATTGCTGCAACATTTTCCAGTCTGGTTAGGTAAGGCTACAATGTCTGGGGCGATGGAGGATGGCCAACCACATAGGCCCATTGGGATGCTATCCGCTAATCCCCTTGGTTTTATAGATCGGCTTTTAAACAATCGATATTTTTAATGATCTTGGTATCTTGGTACCTCCATAAGATCCTTTACAAATGGTTACATGAAAGTGCTCAATGCTTCTGCAGAAATCCTTGATTTAGATGCCAAGCTTGACGACCTTTCTGTCAATTGAACAGTGGCTCTTAAATCTCCGCAAATGGAAGCTTCACTTCTTTTTGTAGTTTTAGGAGCTCAGATGTTCTATTGACGAACCGAGTTGGCCTTATACCCAATAGATTTGTTTCTTTTTCGCAAAAATCCACGTTTTAAGTTTTAGTTGTCAGTCGAGGAATTGGATTCTTAAGGATTCTAATATTTAGTCTCAACCAATATTTAGGATCCACTTTTAAAAATAAATTTGTTGTAAGAAGACTCGTGATTGATTTATTTGTGGAACTGGCACAGCTGAAATGATATTTTGAAATGGAGATCCTCCACCCCCAATGACGTGTATATACATACTAATGATAATAAATGTCGTATTGTTGTTAATTATGTTATTACAACGGTAAGTTGCACGCCAATAGGTCAGTCTAATGTCATTTTAATTGCCATTTGTCGCATATAATTATATACTATAGGATGGTAGACGAAGTATTATAGACAAACAAACGAAGTAATGTTGAACAATTGTAACTACAAGATACTTGTACATTTATATCTTCGCATGCCGCAATGACATATGAATGTGCGATTGTGCAATGTCTCTAGTTGTCCAACACATTTCATTAACAACAACACCAACAATTGTGGCAGAGACTTGCCAATTAAGACCTCAGTGATGCATATAACATGTCGCTCGGATGTCTCAAAGTTTTTCAAGCGGTAAATAAATAAAAAAATGCCTGCAAAAGTATAAATGTTAAGGTTGATTGTCCGTCGAGTGCATATAGATTTATACACATATAAAAATTTAGAGCATAAAACTGTCAGACTTGAACGATAAACCGAATGCTAGACTGCTGCTGCTATTCGTACTGGTACGAGTATGAATGCAAATGCCAAAAAGCATGCAACTGCGCTAAAAAGCCGACTTCAAATCACTTGAATGTGATGATGATGATGATGAAGAAGAAGCATAAGCATCGTCATCATCATCATCGTCAGCATAGTCATTGATTTAAGTGAAGTCGAATGTAAACTGTTGCATTTCTGGTTGCTGACTGATGTTGTTGCTCGCAAAAAATCGACAGCCAAGGCAGCAGCAGCAGCAGCAGCAACATCAACAAAAAACAAAAAAAAAAGTCGTGGCAATAGAAAAATAATGCTTGGAATACCAAAAACAACAGATATAAGACAATAATAATAAATAGTGGTAAAAGAAAAGAAGATGTTGCTGGGACTGTGACTGCGAATGCGAATGCGACTGTGAGTGCAACTGTTGTTGCTGCTGATCGCATCGCTGTTGTTGTTGTTGTTGCTGCTGCAACAATTTCACAAGCAACACGCAGACAACTAAATGACAATGTGAACAAACTAGTAGCAACAGAAATTTATAAAATAAAAAAAAAACCAAAACTGCTGTTGTTGTTGCAACTCTGATCGATGTTGTTGCTTTGCCAGCAACATTGCGCAAAAAAGCGTTTGCAAAAATTGTTACCGTAAATCTTCAATTTAATTATAATCTTATTTATTTGGATAGTTTAGCGCGCCAACTGCAACTGTCTTAATCAATTTGTTAACTTGATGGTTGCTGCTGCTGCTGTTGTTGTTGTTATTGCTGTTGCCTGTGCTGTTACTGGTCTATGAGGAAATGGCTTGTGAATTGCGCCAGCTTATAATTTACTAAGCTGATTTCCTCAGCGTTAAATTTCACAGCTACCGTGTTAACTTTGACACCACCAACGCCAACAAAGACGAGGACTGACATTAGTATTGGGTAAGAGCTTTAATCAAATCCGATGCAATTGGCCGCTGGCAAGGGTTAAGTGTAGCATTCAATATATAATTTACAGCCCACGCATGCGCTGAAAAGTTAATTCTGGCTAATTCGGCAAATTAAATGCGATACCGATTCACACATTGCGCATACGCCCCATGGCCGCCAGTGGCAAATAAAATTTGCAGGCAAACGAGACGCCAACACCAACACCAACGCCAAATTATTTCTAAACGTAAATGTCAAAAAAGCATTTGGCCAAAACGAAAGACTTAGGCAACAAACTTGCGCATTTATATCCAATAAATATAAGTATATGCTTGTTAAGAGCAATTGTGGCTTTATAACAACAAAAAAAAAAGGTGGCTGCAACCAAAGAGCTATTTGCATATCACAACAACAATAATAACAAGAAAGAGTGCCCTTTAGTCCAGACCCGAACGCTTCTAGCTACGGGAAAACCTCAGACGCAATTCCCCAATCGATCGACCGGCCAAGCAACCGACCGACCATCAAGTATCGCCACAGCCACAGCCACAGCCGACGCCATCCCAGACAGGCAATTTAGTGTCACGTTAGCATTTTGGCGGGCTTCCAGGCGGCAGGCAGCAATTGTCTGGGCATTACTATCGCTCCTAACTAGCGGTTCGCCATCTAAACGTGGCCCGCCACTGCAAACAGAGTCAACATTAAATTAGCCAAAGCAATATGTACTAGTATTAAACCCTCTATTCGAACCCTACTACCCCCCGTTCTCTTCCCCTACCTCACATGCAGAGAAGCTGCAACCTTTCTCTTTGTCTGTGTCGGCGGCCTATGGCCGATCGCTCAGTCGTGCCGCTGTCGCTGCTGTTGCTGCCACTGCCGCCGCAAAGGTCGACATAGCATGCTGACTGTACATTTAGAGAAAAAAAAAGTCGCATCAACTTCAAGCTACAGTTTTATTCCAAGAGAGTTTTGAGATAATAATAAATTAAAAACAAAACTAGCTGTTATTCCTTAGCAGCGATTTAAAATTAATTTGCTGCAAATCTATAATTCGGAGAGTAAGTTCTCTAACCATTGGGCTCTATTACTTTTGCTTATTTTAAAATTTTTTTAAGCTGAATAAAATTTCGAAAAGAATTGTTAAATAATAATAAATTAAAACTTATTAATATTCATTAATAATACTCTTATTTCAAAACTAGATGTTTTTCTTTAGCAGCGTTTTAAAATTAATTTGCTGCAAATCTATAATTCACAGAGTAAGTTCTACGGCTCTAAGCAGTAGATTTTTTTTGCTTATTTTAAAACGTTTATAAACTGAATAAAATTTCGTTAAGAATTGTGAAATAATAATTAATTAAAATTCAGTAATACTTTGCGTTCTACTCCTATTTCAAAACTAGATGATTGTTTTTAGCCGCGTTCTAAAATTAAATTGTTGCCAATCTAAAATTCAGAAAGTAAGTTCTAAGACTCTAGGTACTGGGCTCTATTATTTTTACTTACAGGCTGAATAAAATTTGGAAAAAAATTTTTAAATAATAATAAATACTCCTATTTAAAAACTAACTGTTATTCTTTAGCAGCGTTTTAAAATTAATTTGTTGCCAATCTAGAATTCAAAAAGTAAGTTCTAAGGTTCTAAGTACTGGGCTCTATTATTTTTGGCTATTTTAAAATTTTTATAAGCTGAATAAAATTTCGTTAAGAATTGTGAAATAATAATAAATAAAAATTAGATGTTTGTCTTTAACAGCGTTTTAAAATTAATTTGCTGCAAATCTATAATTCACAGAGTAAGTTCTACGGCTCTAAGTAGTAGCTCTTTTTTTTTGCTTATTTTAAAATTTTTATAAGCTGAATAAAATTTCGTTAAGAATTGTGAAATAATATTAAATAAAAATTAGATGTTTGTCTTTAACAGCGTTTTAAAATTAATTTGTTGCCAATCTAGAATTCACCAATTAAGGCTCTAAGTACTAGGTTCTATTATTTTTGATAATTTTAAAATTTGTATAAGCTTAATAAATACAATCAAATATTGCTTTTGATTGCATGTATCTAATAAAAAAATATTTTATTATTGCTTAAAAAATGGCTAATGCTCCGCAATTGTTCTTACTTTGAAGACCATATAATACTTGTAGGTTCATGAATCTACAGAACAACATATTATTATTATTTTTGTTTCAATAAATTTCTTTGAAATTAATTAAAATAGAAGAGGTTTGAAAGTTGAATAAAGTCCCTCTAATTTTTTCGAAACATAGAAGATATTAAACATTTGTGGAATTGACTATCTAAGTAGAAATGTATATTTTATAATTTAATCATTGCCACAATTCCTCTCTAGTTTAAAACTTTAAATATTAATTAGTTAATTTTTGGAATTATTACCACCTCTTCATGTATAGAGGTTATCTGGTTAGCTGGTTGTCAAGAAACTGAAAATATTTAATAATTTATTCGTGGGGTAGTGATACGATATAGTTTTCGTATTTGGATTTTAAGAAATTTAGATTATGGTGAGGTATTATAAGAAATCCCTAACAACTAAATGTACTTTAAAAATCTATAAAGATATAAAAACAATTACGTTTTAGGTACTAAGTTCGATTTCTGCTCGAATCATTTCTATGTCAGCTATATGATATTGACTGATATATAGTGTTGATATCGATGTTGTTATCATAAATAACAAAATTAATTACGACTGGGAGTGATTTTTGCGCCGATATATTCAATAAAAGTTAAATTCACTTTAAGTAAATAACTTTTAACATCTCAATTGGACACATCTTTTTTCTGAGTGTAACTCATTCCCGTGCTGGTCGTCGGCATCATCGTCGTCGCAGTCGACTGTGGTCTGGTCTGGTCTGGTCTGGTCGCATCGCATCGCAACGTATCGGCTTGGCGAGACTGTGTTTAGGTCTGGGTTTTTATAAATACAAGTGTTGGCCGCACAACGCCAAAGATTCGTTTGTTGAACGTGCAACGCGCGCGATCGTAGCTCGGTTCGTAGTTCGTCTTTAAGTCTTTGCGGCTCGCCAATTTCAAGTGGCAGCCAAGCAGGAAAACGGTAACTTCCAATTCAAATCTGAAGCGTTACGAATGCGGGTCCATCCAAATTGTTTGAATTGGCACCGACGCGTGCGCAGCAAAAGGATTTTTAAGGCACGATTGCCGCCGCATTCACAATTCGAAGTGCTTAGACACTGCGTCTAATTATATAATAGAGACTTGATAATAATTTGGTATTGTGTGGTTTTGTGTTGTGTGTTATTGTTTCTGTTGTTGTTGTTGTCTTTTGCAGCTGGCAATGGTTAATACAGCGAGGAAAACAGTTTGCAAATCTTGACAAGGAAACGAAAGAAAATTACAACAAGAAAAAAGCAACCAAACAAAGCAAAAGTGTTGACTGTGAAAGTAAACGAACGAACCGAGAAACTAGATATTGAATTACTAGTCCCCGCTGCTCTCCATATTGTGGTGCAAATTTTTGGGTGCCAACACAAAATGAGAGCTCAAATATTGGCCTTAACGCTCCTGCTGGGTGAGTGCCGAACAGATTGAACGAAATTTCGAAAAACAAAAAGGACTTTGACACAAATAAAAAAGGATTATGAAAAGTGAAAAACTTACAAATAGTATAGAATGTAATTTATTTAATTTTATAGTTAAGCTCAAATTTTGATACGTAATTTATCAGATAGAAAACGGTCGCAGGATTGCATTCAATAATTTAAATCTTAGGAAAACTAAACACTTTCTTTTATTATTTAAATATTCAAGTGCATTGTTTCTAAAAAATATACATTTAAAATATATATTTAAAAATAAATATATTGTGTCTTAGGGACACCAATTTTAATTAAAAAAAAAAGAATCATTTATAAATAGAAATTAGGCTTTTCGGTCTTTGAAGAATGTAATCGTAACATCGCTTTTGAAATATTACTTAATAGCTTAGGTATTAGCTTGGGTATTGAATGATTTTGTGTATTATATACCAAAAGCTTAATCGAATATATTTCGCTTACAGAAATTGCTTGAGAGAATTTTAATTATAAAATATCATTATTACTTTACTTCCGTGCACTGGATTATACACTGAATCTGTGTTGTATTCTTTAAACCAAGGCTTTTAGTGAACAATGATATTTGAATAACCTCAACAAATATTGATTATTTCCTCTATTTTTTTAATTTATGCATTTACAAGTAATTGTATTGAAATGAATTTCATGCATTACTTAGAATTCACTCTGGTATGTCTATATTTATTTGAGTTAACTTTGAAAATGCTCATTTAAATACAAACAATTTATTAATCTGAATTATTTGAAATTCGAAACAAAACTATAGCTTAATTTTCAAACCTTCAAAAAATATTTTTTCAAAATTCAGCTAAAAAAGGGGTTTTAAAATGATTAAAAACAGAAACAAAAATTGTCGAAAACTATGGCGATCCGATTCTTCAAAACAACAATATTTCTGATATTTTATGAACAATTTATTATTTTTATATTCACAATTTTGTAAAACCGATATGAATGTTAGAAGTTTAAATGAAACAATGACTACATAGAGGAATTCTTTAGATAATTTTCGAAACTGTTGATATTCTGCCTTACAAGTTTTTTCTGCATAGACATTGACAATAAATAATTAGATAATAATTTTCTTTGTAGTTGGGGTATGGCAATATATTTTGAAATATCTTAAGCATTTTCCTTTAAAACAGTTGTAATTTGAATGCATCCTAATATATTAAGATTTGTATTAATTTATTTCCAAAGCAGACAGACTCCTTAACAAAGAAACATTCTTTGCAAAAATAAAAAAATAAATACAAATCCTATAAAATATATTTGCCACATCAATAAAAGTAGCTGGTGTCATTGCTTTTTTTATTTTTTGTTTCTTAACAATAACTGCTTTCTACAAAGAACTAATAACCTTCACCTTCTACCACAGGCGTGTTCAGCGCCCAAGCACTCGATGCCAAAGCGAAAAGCTCTGAGGCAACATCGCCAGCCCTAGAAACGGAGGCGTCCAAAGACAAACGTCAAGTGGGGCACAAAGAGACCGCCAATTATCCGAACCATCGCAACGATGCGGCCAACGACGATCCCGAGGATGGACAAGAGACGATCTATGGGGCGAAACCGAACCAGTTCATCATAAGACCCATAGCGCCGCATCAGCATCAGCAGCACGAATCGCATCAGGAACCGCAGTTGCGGAATTTTGCGGCAGCAAACTCTAGACCTCATGCTGCGCAGCTGCTCGAACAGAGTCAAGAGGTGAGCATTAAATGTTATGCCTTAATCCCCAAAGAGTGTGTGTGTGTGAGTGTGTGGGTAGCGATATGAAAAGTGTGATAATTCATTTGATTGAGGCATTAGGTCCAAAAAACAATTTTTTGTTTGTTTTTCAAAGCTGATGTTTGCAGCTTCGGGTTTTCATCAAACAGCTCGCGGCCATAAGACAAAACGTCGTGACTGGGCTGCTTAACACGATTCTTTGCAAAATACAGGATGTTAACATAATGACAAACAACAACTACAACAACTACAACTATTACTACAACAGCAACAATGGCCAGCCAGTCTGTCAGCAAATTGTCAAATTTTTTCCCTTTCGCTGCAACAACCTTGACCAATTTTATTTCTAATGCAACAAATTGAGATTTTTGGGCAAGCAGCGAGTAATTACAACAACGAACACTGAAGTAACAACAACAACAACAACAACAACAAAAACTGCTGTGACAAATTAAAATTAAAAGAGACACAGAAAATTGCAAATACTACACGTATATACTTGTAGAGAAAAAAAAATTAGTTATAATAAATGCCAATTGCTGGCGAGTTTCTAAAACGTCCATAAAGTAAGTCACGAACGACAAATACAGCTACAACAACAACAACAACAGCTAATGCATAATTGTAAAAGTAGACAACACAACAACAACAGCAACATGTTGCTGTCACATTTTCAGCGGCTTCTGAAACCCAAGACCCCACTCACCAACAACAACTTAAATAAAAATAAAAATACAAAAAAAGTATATAAAACAATGGCTCGCGCTTTGCGTCGTGGGAAGAAAGTTGACATAATGTTATAATCGGCCGACTTCTTTGCTTGGCGCCTCGGGTGCTTCGCTCGCTGCCTGACTTGTCGGCAACATCGTCTCCTCCGACTCTACGTACACGTATAGTATATAGTCAGCGGTATTATAATAATGTGAATTATGTGCTGCAAACATTGATTGCAACAGCGCGATGCGAGAGGTAAAGGCGAATTGTTGCGGTTTATGTTGATGTTGTTGTTGCTGCTGCTGTTGTTGTTGTTGCCGTCGGCTTCATTCGTTGCCACAAGTGTTATATAAACTTTAGATGCCACGCCATTCTCACACAACGCCCACTCCCTCACCCCAACCAACCTGAGCCTCAGCCCCAGCACCTGCAACAGCTCTAGTTGTTGGTTGCTGCCAACTCTAATTTTTAAAAGCAGGTAGCCATTTATTTTTATTTATGACATTGAATGGCGCCCACGCCTCATCCGCCTGCCACTAAAATTGGCACTGTGGGTCAGCGATCATAAACTGCCATAGAAAATGAGGAGCACCTTTTCAAGAAGACAACTAAATGCCTTTTAGTTTATTCAAATTAATCTGCTCGAGCAACACATATCGTATATAGAGCTGATTCGGTACGGTCCGAAATAGTCCAATAACTACCGAGCATTGTTTAGCTCTGCTATCAAGTTACATTAATTATTGAAATAAGTGATCATAGACTGCCATTCAAAAAGACGAGCACCTCTTCAAGAAGACAACTAAATGCCTTTTAGTTTATTCAAATTAATCTGCTCAAGCAACACATATCGTATATAGAGCTGATTCGGTACGGTCCGAAATAGTCCAATAACTACTAAACGTTGCTTAGCTCCACTATCAAGTTACATTAATTATTGAAATAAGTGATCATAGACTGCCCTTCAAAATGAGGAGCACCTCTTTAAGAGAACTAAATGCCTTTTAGTTTATTCAAATTAATCTGCTCTAGTGGCGTTTTCTTGGATCAAGCAACACATATCATATATAGAGCTGATTCGGTGCGGTCCGAAATAGTCCAATAACTACTAAGCGTTGCTTAGCTCCGCTATCAAGCTACATTAATTATTGAACAAAGTGAGCTCATTTCCCGGAAAAGGAACTACTGAACTATATCTCAAATCGAAAAATCCCTGTTATATCCTATAGGTTATACAAATTAAACTCTTTGACAGCTACTAAGAAAACTAAGATAATGATGTAAACATGATGTAATCATTTAAACAGGCCACTATTCGCCTATTACGACTCAGCTCTTTACTGTCATTTACAAGTTTATATTGTTAGCGAAAAGACGTAATATTTTGAAAACAATTCTGTAATAAAGAAAAGTATTTTGGACAAATTTATTTGAAACTAAAGAAAGGTGTTAAATATCGGAATGACATTTTTTGATTGTAAGAAATATGTCCAACTCCTCAATTGGAACAATTAAAAATGTTCAATTATTGAATTCACTGCAGTGACATTTTATGAAGAAATTATCCCTCGCAAAAGGAATTGGAATGCAAAATTTATTCCAAATTTTAGTCTTTTCACCAATACGCTTCATAAATATTCATCGAACTCTCTCTTCTAAATTGGGTATTATTTAAAATAGTTTTAAGTATGAAACAATGGGTAGTAGATCTTGTATTTTGTTAGCAGTTGTTTAAAAGATTTTCCCAACCGAACAATCCATTTTAGCCTTGAATGTGGTTTCCAAACCAATGTGCTCGTTTAGTTGCAATTTGTTCAAAGACAAACGCTTTAATTGTTTACAACAACGCCCTCAACCACAATCTCTGCCTTGCCTCATTCACAGATCCAACATTATGTTTATCTGCAAGACATTATGCGACATCATCAACCGAAGGCGGCTGTTGGGGCAGGTCAAGGCAAAAGCTCAACGGCGGCCGCGAAAAAGGCGGCCACAGAGAATGCCGCGTCGGGTGTGGAGGAGGCGGAGCAGCGTTATGCTGTCGCCATACAGCCACGCCCATATGGCGGTCAACCATATCAGCTGCCCTTGCCGTTGCCCGCGCCACAGCATCAGCAACATCCCCAGCATCAGCAACATCCCCAGCAACAACAGCACCCACAGCAGCAACAACAACAGCCCTATCAGATCATACCAGAGGAGCAGTTTCTGAAGCTGCTCGAGGAGGAGCTGCATGCGCGCGCCTTCCATGAGGCACAGCTTAGGCAACACCAGCAGCAACAAAACCAGCAGCAACACCAGCAGCAGCAACAACAACCTAGGAGTCCAGTTGTTCACAGCACTGCGGCAACCCACAAGGTACTGCAGCAGGCACAGCCAGGCCTCGGACTGGGCAACTATCGTGAGCGTAACGTTGTGGCGGAACAGGAGCTGGTTACACCACAATATCTGCACTATTCCCGAGGCGGACCAAAGTATTTGCCGCGTCCTCAGCCGCCACCAAGCGCACAGGAGGAGGAGGAACCATTGCCCTCCCCGCTGCCACAGCAGCAAAGGCAACAACCTCCCCACCATCATCCCCATCCACATCAAGTCCATTCCCATCAGCCACAGCAACAACTGATTGACGCTTTGCCGCCACAGATCGCTTACTATCAGCCACAGATTAGCTACAAGACGCTGCCAAATCATCCGCTGGCCAAATCCTCGCTGGAGAGCGAAATTGAGAAACTCTTGGCTGCTAATAAGCATTCCGCGCTGGAGTTCGTGGACAGCAGCAATGAGCCTACGCTGGTCAGTCATCAGCAACATCAACGAGCTTCCCCAGCACCGCCTCCATCGCCAGTTCCATCAGCTCCCCCGTCGCCAGCAACCCATCCAGCACTGCGTCATCCCAAGGCCTATATATCGAGCAGCACGCCCAACTCCTTGCTGGATGCCAACAATCAACCGTTCATACCTTCGCTGTTCAAGTTCAGCAACTACCAGCAGCCCACACCCATCTACCCCACTCAGGTGCCCAGCCATTTGGTAGAGGGCAAGAAACTGGGTCCGGTTGTGTATCCGCCACCCACAGCCGCCACTCTGCCTCACCAACAGGCTTCCCAGCAGCCATCGCAGTACTATTACCAACAGGAGGCAGCCACGCCCACAGCCCCTAAGCCCAAGCATTATCGTTCCAAGCACTATGGCCATAAGCTGACCGTGCCGGCGCCCAGTAAATCGTATGAGAAGACAGCCCTCATCTATGACTACGATCGTCCACAGCCGCCAACCAACTTCTATCCCAGTCCGCCAGATCCAATTAAGCACGGAGGTCCGCGTACCACGCCTGCAGCCGTGACACCGCCAACAGATTATCCGCAATATGTGCTGCCACCATCGCCATCGCTAGCCCCTTCGCCATCGCAGTCCAGCATTTATGTGTCGCAGGGCACTGGCATTGCCACGCCCTCCCGATCCGCCCACAAGCTGCGCACTGTGGACGATGTGAAGCAACTAAATCTTCCGCCCCCCAATGGCAAGCCTCTGACACAGGCCGAGTTCCAGGCGCTGGTCGATGCCGGCTATCCCGTCAAGGCAGTGCCTGTACCCGTGCCTGTACCCTACGAGCAATACGTGAAGGATCATCCCGAATACCGCAATCATCCGCCCGTAGATTATGCGCATCTGATGCGTCTGGCCACGCGCCAATTATCCACCACGCATCAGCGTTCGTTGGCAGCTCCTTCGGAGCCGTCTGTGAAAATAATATCCTCGCCCTCGGAGCCACAGCAGCAGACCGCGTCAGCCATAGGTGGTGGCAGTGTCACATATTTGCAACCCATTGAGGGCGTGTCCAAGCGACGACCGCGTGATGAAAAGGATACGGCCGTAGCGGGCAGCAGCACAGCGCAGACGAAGAAGGAGGCGAAAGTGGAAGCGAGTGATGATAATCAGGGGGTGGCTTAGTGAGAGGTCCTCTGAACAACCTAGTTAATGTCCTTGTTTAGTGTTAAGTATTGTAAAGATGTTGCTGTACATTTCGCACGTTTCGCATTAAACTTAAATTAAATTATACACACAATAATAAGTATATACATCGCAGGACTTGCACTCAGTTCAAGACCAGCGGTGGATTACTGTTACTATTACTACTATCAGCGGAGCTGAGGGTCTCTGGTGTTGCCTCCTTGGTCTGCAATCTTGAGAGATGCGGATCCCGTCGCTCCTTCTCCTTGCGCTCACGATCCTTCTCCTTGTTATGTTTGTGCTTGTGCTTATGCTTGTGCTTCTTTTTGTCCTTCTTCTTCTTTTTCTGTGCAAGTAAAATAATTTAAATGACTTCTTAATTCCAGCTCAAAACCTTCAGTAAAAGCAGGCTGCCTGCTAACTATAAATATATTTCCTTAATGTGCGGGATAAGAAAAGCTCTTTTCGAACGGATTTCGAGAAATGTTCAGGCTTTCCAATTTAGTAGCTTTTGTAACGTGTTCATTGTTTTAAATTCGAATGTTATGTTTACCATTTGAAAGGAGCACTTCAATCTGAGGTCTGTTTAGATGGCCCGTATTACTCAACTATTCTTACGCTGAGCTTATGGGACAAGAACCATTTTCGTTAGAGCCAATAATTGTCAATAAAATAAGTAGAACATTCATAGAGAGAAGGTACTTATTTGTCTTGTCTAGTTTAGAATCTGCCCAAAACTCTATAGAATGTTCTAAAATTAAGTTCCGAATCAACGGAACAAACTATTTGTGTTTTAAAAGGCGGGTGAGAAGAAAATGAAATCCGAAACATTACAAGAAAGAATTTAAACAGATATTATCAAGCCGACTTCTGTTCAGTTGAAGGTTCCACTCATCAAACTTTGAATAAATACGAAAATTGTTTGAGAATATATTCCAAAAGCCAAACTTTAAACGACTTTAAAAAGCGGGGAGTGGTGCATCGATAAACTTAAAAAGTACCAAAAACTTGCATAATATTTTAGAAATATAAGTCAAAGAATTAAACAGGGGCTTTCCATAACCTGAAAGTGTTATTAAAGAATAAGGTCACGCTTAAGAGAAGTCAAATGTATAAAATGGGGGATTTCGAAAAGCTTTGGGATTACGAGTTCATTGAAACATTCTGCAGAGATCTTTGTAAATGTTGAGGATAGCTGATGCAAAATAAAAGTCCTCGAAAATCGAAGACTACCTATCAAAGTACTTACACTACTGAAACCTAATCGGAAATGTGAATAATTGTCCACTTACCTTTGACGACCCATCCATTTTAAGTTTGCCTTCGCTGTCCATTTTGTTGGACTCATAGCTGCTGGCGTAGCGTGTGACTTCGCCGACATCCACAAACGACATCGAGTTATCATCTTCTACATAGACCTCGGTTTTTACTCGCTTGGCCACATGATCCTCTGGCTCGGCCTCAGCCGCGTCGATTATATTCAATTTGGTTTCACTCTTAAAGGCCTCGACTTCGATCGGTTCATTCATGACGGTTACCTCCTCGCTTCGTTCCAGCTTTATGATTTCGTCGCCCACCTCGAATGCTTCGGTCGCCGTGCGCTTTATGGTGACCATTGATGGTTTACGTTCCTCCTCATTCTCTGACACTGCGGGTTTGACGTCGCCGCTACTCTTCTTGAACGAGCTCGTATCCTTCATCAGATCCTTGTAGAAGTTTTGATTCTCTGAGGCCTGTAAGCAATTTGGTTTCTTGCTGCCGTATAGAGCGTAATACAGATCGACAGTATCGCAGCGTAGCTTTGTATCATAGGCCAGCGTATTGATGCTTGCCCAGAGACGATCCACCAGACTCGGTTTGTCCAGCCGACTGCGTGCCTCACGCGTAAACGGCGGATTATCTATAAGCAGTTGAGCCAGAGCGTGACGTGCTGCCGGATCTGGATCTGTTTCGAGCAATGTTATCAAATGTTCCAAATCCTCGCTACGTCCGTCGACCTTCACAAAGTCAACCAAACACTCCATGGCCGCTATGCGCAGGTCCAGAAATATGCCATATGCCGCATAGCTGCGATAAATGTGAGGCAAGGAGGGCAGATGACCGAATTTCTGCAGCTTGCGTATGACTTTAAGGCAGGAAACAGAGACCAGGTACTTGTAGGAGGGCAGATATTTCTCCAAGTTGAGCAGACGCGTCACTTCGTCAAGCACCAGTCTGTTGGATATTAAAAAAAAATATACCGATTGAATTTGCAAGCAAATATAAGAGCTCACTTAGCATCAGTGGATAGGCTATCCGTAGTAATCTGCGTGCCATGCATAGCCACAGAAACCACAGGCGTCAGAGTCTCGCCCAAGGCTTCCACCAAAGCAGCCCGGTAATATGCATCTGTATAGAGATTGCGCGAATTCTCATTGTACTTGAACAGGTCGAAGAGAAAACGCATTACCTCCGGCGGGCAAATGCCATGTGAGGTACGCAGACCTGCAAGAAACCGGATTATTATTATCAGCGCAATTATTTGTTGACTGCCTGTCCACTTACCTGCCATGGCCACGGGAATGGCCTTCTGCAAAAAGTACAACTGAAAATTCGAGAAATTATTCAGCTTAATGATGTGCGGAGCACTGAAGGAGCCAAAGAATTTGCGGAATATGTTCAGCATGGCTGGCGGACCGCTCCAAGAGGCGACCATTTGATTGGCCACTTTGGTGAGGCAATGAGCGGCCTGGCAGCGCACCTTATAGAAGCATCGTTCATTCTCGATGGTGTCCGTTAAAGCAGTACGCGTGGATATTGTGGGATACTTTTGCAGCGCCTTGATGGCCTCAAACTGTGCCGTAACATCGCGTTCGTGGCGCAACTGATATTGCCACTGAAAGTCCGGCTGCTCGATGTTAAGATCGCGTAGCAATATCATCTCCGGATCCAGGCGTATCCACAACACAGGTGAGTCGCTATAAATTTATTTTATTTTAGAGGGGGATTGGGGAAATTGGCAACCCCTACAACGGTCCCGAACCCAACAATTCCGCTACGATATCCAATAATTCCTATACGATTGTTTTTCAATCGGAGATGGAGGTCTAATTCTGGACTAATTCTCAACTGGAGGATACTGATATTGTGAAACCTAACTTCAATAATAGCAATACGATTGGAACGTACTTTATCTGGAATAGCCGACCAGATCTTCGGCAAACTAAGGTGATTACAAATCCCTTGAGAAGGACCTCACATACTATTATACGGCATAAAACCACCTTCACAAAATGTGGCTCTCAGCTAATACGGAACACAGGCTCAATTAGAGGTGGAGGAGGCAAAGGGACTGTTATTCTCTGAGGAAGATCCCATTGACTCTCCTTCATTCAATTTTCTTACATAAAGTAAGGACTTAAAACTCTATTTGACTCACTCCATGGCAGATAGATCCATGTCCACTTCCTCGCCAGTGCATAAGGGGATTTTCTTCTTTTTATTGCGTCTGCTCTTCGAGTGGCATGTGATGTCCGCCTTAACCAAGGTATTCTCAATCTGCAATGTGTGCTTGAAGGTACCGTCCAACTCCTGCAGCTGCACCAAAAGGGGTCCATTATATTTGCGCACACCTCGTTGATTCACAAAGTCCTGTCGTATTTCCAACTCAATGGTGTTACGTTTACGATTGAAGACTGATGTGAGCGAGAATTTTGCATGACCGCCTGTGCGCACCCACTGGTCCATAAACACGGACATATCCTTGCCCGTCACCGTGAAAATGGCCTTGATGAAAATATTCGTTGATATCAGCAACTGAGACCAGAGACCGGCGCCTATTTTGGTCGATGCTGCATTGGTTGCTAGAGCTAGTTGCTTATTAAACACTTGAATGAGCAGTTCGGCACCAATGCGATGCTCTAACATGCGTATAACCAAATGCGCCTTGCGACGCATTGCCTCCACATATTTGGGCGAAACGGTGTGTAAGCTCTTGACGGGGAAATAGTGAACAATTTCCTGCTGTTTGCTGGCAGCTGCCGCCGGATTTGTGCTCGACACTGGCAACGGGGCTGGCGGCTGACTACAATCGAGTATAATGCCGCCATACTGCTCCTCATATTTGACCACACGTGCCAACTCAGATTGAACCCATTCACGATATTCGTTGTTGCCGAAGCATTTGCGGGAGTAGAGCCCGCAAAGGTATTCGGCAATTCCCTTGGCCAGCCAGGTGTCCGACCAGTGATGCGATGTGATGAAACAGCCAAAGAATTGCTCAGCCACGGCGCGCGACATAAATGTGCGCGACACATACGTCTGATCGATGATGGCTATGGAGTGCAGTAGATTCACCGATGCTATGCTCAGTGTGGCGTACGCGCTGATGTCTGTGTCCAATTCGTCTACAAACACCTGTTTGTAGCAAGAGAACGGATAGCGAGTGGATAGCGTCTCCTCAAAGAACTCAAAAGCCTCATGCAAATAGCGCACTGTGTTCTTCAGCAGCGGCAAGAGTTGTGGCAGACAAAAGTGAGTGACTTCGTGCATGTGAGGGTCCACATAGATCTCGAAGGGTCCCACAGCCAGCGCGATATTCGGCGCGCACACTGGCGTCGTCACTGTGTAATGAAACGTTTTCCTGCGCAAATCTGGCGTCATGATAACCTCCACAAGTTCACCACACGAAATGGCTGTCAGATTTTTATCCACCGTGAATTCCAAACGCCACGTACAGGGATCAGCAAAGCTATCGACGCAGGGAAACCACAAACGCGTCGAATTTTCATAGCAATTAGTGTACATATGTGCAAAATTGACTTGCGTCTCCTCATCGGAAGATGTAGGTGGTATGACAAAGTGGATGCCGCTTTTAGGATTTTCAAGCGAAAATTCGATGCGAATGCGCAGGCCGCGTCCCTCTTGTATCAGTGAGTAACCATCTGGTGGCACTTGGATAAGCAGCTCTCCGTTGTTCACGTCCGGATCTGTGATTTGAGCGGCCGCCAAATGATGCGTCGAATATACATCCAACGAACGACTAAAAAAAAACACAATTATAGAACAGACATGGCGGGCGAAGATGCAACCTACGTTTTGGGATCCTTATGGCATATATCTTGAAACGGATCGAAGTAAACAAATTCGGCATTGCAGACATCATTCAGCACCACACTATAAATACGCAACTGCTTCGCGTTTAGACGTATGAGACGCAAACTTTCGCTGTTTGGAACTATGGTCAGCTCTACCATGCCCTGTAAAAGTATGCAATTAATACAGATCCTTTAAAACGTCCTTTTGTTGCTTACAATAATGCTGCGCCTCTCAAAACTGATGCCCGTGAGACTCACAACCTGGTGCGCCGTGCTGGGAAGAAGAAAAAATAAATAAATTAATCGCGTGTTGTTTCACATAATTCGTTTACACTTATAATTTAAATGGGCGTAGCGGCGCGTCCGGCAATTCAGGCAGAGCTTCCATTGCTATATTGCCGGCTTGATTTTGGCTAATTTGTATTTTTTATATGTGTTAATCCAGCACCGATTGATTGTTTATGTGTAAGCAGCGGCTCCCAATCATGACGACAACGAAATAATACCATGAATATACCAAAAGTGGCATTTTAACAACAAGTTGGCAGCATTTACGTCATTTCTTAACACTACTTATGTGTTCCGTATTTTTTTCACCCGTGTTGTAAAAAATGTTAATAAAATATTAGCTTTTGACCAAATGTATTAATTTGGAATAATGAAAGTAAAAGTTAATCTAGGGGCCATTCATAGCTCAACTAACTAGTTTGAATCCCATTGTGAGTTCGTTTCACCGGTTCGAACCACGCCGCAAATAATAATAGCTTGAAGAGCAATATTTGAAATTTCACATTTAAAATAAATGGTAATATCAGTCGTATAAAAAAGACCCCGATATTCTTTGTAACAAACGTGGACCCCAAAACAATTATTGATACCGAAAGGTGCAAAGAGTAACCTAAAAGAATAATAAAAAAAAAACGGTAACACCTAATTGAATGTCTAGGAGTTTTTTTTTTATTTTAAACCGACTTCAAAGAAAAAGAAGGAGGTTTCAATTCGTCTGTTTTTTTTTTCAGAATATTCGACTGGTTGAACTGATTTTGGAGCTTCCCGAAAGGTCCCATTTCTGATAATGCCATCCATGAGAAACCTACCTTAAAATTCCCCATTAAGTCCAAAAACCTGAAAATTATATTTCTGCACAGGATGCTGTTATTTCAGAATCATCCTCGAAACATTGTTGCACTTTCAATGACAAAACAAGAGAGAACGCTAGTCAGATAAAAACACAAACTCGATCTGCCTGGGGTTTAGGGGAACCTGAATGCCAAGATTGGTTATTCGAGCTATTGTACTTACCGGGATCATTGCGCTCATACAGACAGACAGATGGACATGGCTATATCGACTCGATTTGTCATCCTGATCAATAATATATATAACCTTTTACCCTTTGGGCACAGGCTATAAAAAGTATTCACTGTATTAGATCCGAAGTCCGTTTTTTTATTTGTTTAAATGTTGCTTGTTCCATATACATATGTAGAATCCAAAGTCGTTTATTGATTGATTAGCAAAATTAATAATTCGAAGTGATACTGCCTAGTTTTTCAGTAAACATGTTTGCTTTTAATATTTGAGAAACAATTACTTCCAAATTTTAAAATACAACTTAACGAATATGTAATGTATTTGTAGAACTTAATATAAAACTAAAATTAAAAATCGCAAAACAGCTGCCAATTTTAACAGTCGCTGTTAAATATCAACTCGTATAGCTGTTTTTCTCCACTAGCATGTTTTTTATTTCCTGGTGAAATATTTATGGTGGAAAAAATGTGTGCCCTTAGAAGGGTTAAGGATGTGAATCATCTGTTCTGCGAAAGTGGTACTCGCTATTTTTGGATATTTCTCGCATTTAAAACGTATTTTTCCAACTCGACTCAGCAGTTTTGGGACGACTGCGAGTTGCCTCGCTTCTTGTGTGAAAGTGGACATTAGTTTAGAAAAAGAAGACGACATTAATAATTGAATTACAAACAAAAATATGTATAGCATTGAAAATTACCCAAAAAATTATCGTGCGAGTGGTATTGGACTTGTAAATCTTGCGGCCTTGGGCTACAGTGAAAATGAGGTTGGTAGTGGTCGTGGCAAGGGCGGCGGCATCGGAGGCAGCAATGCGAACAGCAAACCGAAGACAGGCCTATACCCATCGCTACCATACCCCTCATCTGATTCGGTTGGTGGCATGCCATATGTGGTAAAACAGACAACCCACGCGCAAAATGCGTCATTTACGGGCGGGCCCACAGCACCAGCATCGGCGCCATATCCGAGTTCAACCCCATATCCAAGTTCCGCACCGTATTCGCAGTTGCCGTATCCGCAGATGCCTCAGCCATATGGTGGTGGTGGAGCGATTCCTTCGCTGCCTTATCCAACAGTACCGTTAGCAGCCATGCCGGGCTTACCCAGTATGCCAATGCCTTATGCGCCGACTACACCACAGCCCCAAACGCCAGGACTCTACCCAACGCTGCCAACGCTACCCACTGGCGCTGGTTACCCAATGGGTGGAGGTATGCCAATGCCCATGCCCAGTTTTCCGCCGTTGCCCACACCGACAGCGCCGCCACCAGAAAGTGCGCCCTCCCCCGAGGAGGAGCCGTCTGTGGGTGTGGCAGAGTTGGCATTTACCAGCATGAAGGTGCCGGAGAACGAGAATATGTTCTGGCTAGGACGCAAGGCGGCCAGCACGCGTCAGCAGAGCGTGCGTGGAGGGGATTTTGCTACTTTGCGGGATTCCTGTGTGTCGAATGGCACACTCTTTGAGGATCCCGACTTTCCGGCCAACAACGATTCGCTGATGTTTTCCCGACGCCCCGATCGCTACATCGAATGGTTGCGTCCCAGTGAGATCGTCGACGATCCTCAATTCTTTGTTGAGGGCTATTCGCGTTTCGATGTCCAACAAGGCGAACTCGGCGATTGTTGGCTCTTGGCTGCTGCGGCCAATTTGACGCAGGATGCGAATCTCTTTTTCCGTGTCATACCGCCCGATCAGGATTTCCAGGAAAACTATGCGGGTATTTTCCACTTCAAATTCTGGCAATACGGTAAATGGGTCGAGGTGGTCATCGATGATCGCCTGCCGACCTATCATGGTGAACTAATCTACATGCACTCGACGGAAAAGAATGAGTTCTGGAGCGCGCTGCTCGAGAAGGCATACGCTAAGCTGCACGGGTCCTACGAGGCATTGAAAGGTAAGCTCTAATGAAGAATTCGATTGATAGATTATGATGAATGCTTTAAAATTTTCAGGCGGTACTACATGCGAGGCTATGGAGGACTTCACGGGTGGCGTGACGGAGTGGTATGACATCAAGGAGGCTCCACCAAATCTATTTAGTATTATGATCAAGGCTTCGGAACGCGGTTCCATGATGGGCTGCTCCTTGGAGCCCGATCCACATGTGCTGGAGGCAGAGACCCGTGAGGGTTTGATTCGCGGACATGCTTACTCTATTACCAAGGTCTGCATGCTGGACATTGCAACGCCAAATCGACAGGGCAAGCTGCCGATGATACGCATGCGGAATCCGTGGGGCAACGATGCTGAGTGGAATGGTCCGTGGAGCGATAGTTCGCCGGAATGGCGTTTTATACCGGATCACCAGAAAGAATCGATTGGTCTGAACTTCGATCGTGATGGTGAATTCTGGATGTCCTTCCAGGACTTTCTCAATCATTTCGATCGTGTGGAGATTTGCAATTTGTCGCCCGACTCTCTCACCGATGAACAGGAAAACAGATCGCGCCGCAAGTGGGAGATGTCCATGTTCGAGGGCGAATGGACTTCGGGTGTGACGGCGGGCGGTTGCCGTAACTTCTTGGAGACATTCTGGCATAATCCCCAGTACATTGTGTCGCTGGAGGATCCCGACGAGGAGGACGATGATGGCAAGTGCACAGTAATAGTGGCGCTGATGCAAAAGAACCGTCGCAGCAAACGAAATGTGGGCATCGATTGCCTTACCATTGGCTTTGCGATCTACCACTTGACTGATAGGGATCTGCTGGTGAAGCCGCAGGGTCTGAACTTCTTCAAGTACCGCGCCTCTGTCGCACGTTCCCCCCACTTCATCAATACGCGTGAAGTTTGCGCGCGTTTCAAGCTGCCGCCTGGCCATTATTTAATCGTGCCCTCCACTTTCGATCCCAACGAGGAGGGTGAGTTCATCATACGCGTCTTCTCGGAAACAATGAACAATATGGAGGAGAACGACGATACGGTAGGCTTTGGCGAGACAGACGATCGCATTGCACCTGCATTGCCGCCACCCACGCCCAAGGAGGAGGATGATCCTCAGCGCATTGCCTTACAGCGTCTGTTCAACAGCGTTGCAGGCGACGACGGCGAGGTAGACTGGCAGGAGCTTAAGCGCATTTTGGATCATTCAATGCGCGATGTTATGGGTGGCGAAGGCTTCTCAAAGGATGCCGTGCGCTCTATGGTCGCCATGCTTGACAAGGATCATTCCGGTCGCCTGGGTTTCGAAGAGTTCGAGGCCCTGCTGACGGACATTGCCAAATGGCGGGCAGTCTTCAAACTCTACGATAGCCGGCGTACCGGCAGCATTGATGGCTTCCATCTGCGCGGCGCCCTCAACTCGGCGGGCTATCATTTGAACAATCGGCTGCTTAACGCTCTGGCACATCGGTACGGATCGCGTGAGGGAAAGGTGCCATTCGATGATTTCCTCATGTGTGCCATTAAGGTGAAGACCTTCATTGAGATGTTCCGTGAGCGCGATACGGACAATTCAGATACGGCATTCTTCAATTTGGATGATTGGCTCGAGCGTACTATATACTCATAATTGGACAGTTGCAATTGAAGCTAATTTACGTCGATTTAACAATACAACTATATATAAGTGCCACGTTTACTTAACCACATACTTGTACATACATACAAACTGGGAAGCTGTGTAAAATCGAGAGAAATAGAAAAAAAATAATGCATCACCATGACCGGTATTAGCTACCTTTTGAAGTCATTAAATCAGCAGCATTGGATGACACACACAGCTTTATCAAATGTCGAAACATTCGCACAACATTAACCGGAAATATGAATTCAAGCGCTTCGTAATTAGAACGACCTTGACGTGAAGATAAAACCCGAAAATCAACAAAAAATTAATACCCAGTGGTGCTCTAAATAAACATATACACATAGTATATGAATGGCATGCAATTGTATATATATTATATATACATACATATAGTATATATCTGCGTGCATTTTATCGCTGGAGGCATGAGTAACAGCACTTTATACAAATATTCAACATGCCCCCTTCTCCATTAAGTTGCCAAGCAATGGGTTTGAAGAATCAGTACAAATAAACAGAAATGCTAATCAGAATGCTTACATATTCATCTGACGCTCATACATACATGGTATGTATGTATTATGCCGTCACCTTTTTTATATCCGATGCATATTTATATGTATATTTTCGTAATCTCTAATTGCTATATTGATATTTGTTCAATTGGTACTAAAAAAAAACTGTCGAGCAAAGCGAACAAACGCAGCAATCAATTAAATTCTTTGTGTAATTGTTATTGTCTTAAAATAAATATTCTATATTTTGTCACACACCTTTGTATGTATTTTTATTATCGTCGGAACTTGGTCTATTTGACAATGACAATCTCACCACCACTTGGTACACCCGCCTCGATCAACAGTTCCTTAACCTCGTCCAGATTCATTTCGTTGTCGGAGCACAATTGGGCCAGCATTTCCAAAAAGTCTTCGTATTCGAGGCGCCATTTTCTAAATAAGATGAGATTAATGATGAAAACAATGAAATAAAAAATGCAATTATTTGGAAAATTCTAAAAGTACTGTTTCTGAGAGGTAAATAATAAAGTCTTGGTCTATAATATTTCCTCATTCAAGCTGTTCATAGCTATTGGTTAATGGGAAAAGCGTAAATCATATTCCTTAGTAGAAGAGTTCACTTAAAATCCGGTCAATCCGCCCAAATTTGGAACCGCTCTTTTCCACCAAAACTGAAATAATTTCTTGATGTTAATCGGTTAATAAATCTTGCCACTGGTTCAGAGATTACCTTTACAATGTACCCTATTGCTTATATTTATAAAAAAAAACCCTATTCATATGAATTAGATTCACATCATATTAATTCATGTTTAATCTTTATCTTTGTATCAGGTTTGTCAGTCGTCCCATATAAATACAAAATTCTGTGAGATTTTCTTTGTTTTCTACACTATTTTAGTTTACTAAGTAATGCTCATGTCTATATTAAAATCAATTTATGTATGAAGCTTCATCAGAAATGTATTTGCGATTCGTATTATAATAACTCCACCAACTTCCATAAAAAAAGCACAAACTTGTTTATACCTTATGCCAATATTGAAATAACTGCTAACTTTTAAGCGGTTAATCCGTCAATATGTCGTTTACCGCGGAATCGAGCGGGAATTTAAAACTTTTTTGACCTGCTTTTCGATGAAATATATTTTTATAAAATGTTCTAAAAGTGGGTTTCAATACCTTTCATCACCATCTCGATCGGTAAAGCTCAAAATTACCTGAAACCTAAGTGTAATGTTCTGAGATCACGTTCATGATGATAATGCAGTATAGTTCCCACCCCACTCAGTTCTGGAATGAAAAGAAACTCACTTGTAGCGCATATAAATCATTCCAGTTTGTGTGCGCGTAAATGGCGTGGGCATTAACTTGGCCTGTTCAAGCCAGCAATCGACTTGGGAGAGCAAGATGCAATCATATTCCTCGTTCTCCAGATCTGTGGGTATTACCTTAAAATTGCAATATATCAGAAATAACGAATCGAGTGTGTGTTTCTTTGGTTTATCTTCGTCATCAGCCATGTTGACGAGAATATAATATATTCGAGAGAAAAAGGCACTAATACAATGATTAGAATTGTTTATAAAAAAAATGGAAGTGTGCTGAGACGACAGATAATGAAGAGTAATGCTCTTTTATGTACATGTATAGTAGAATATGAGTATTATTGTTTGTTGATAAACAAAGCAACCACATGGGTGTGGGTGAGTTGCTATGGTGTCGATTTTGTTTACTTTTCTTGCTGATCTTCCATTGCCTGGGCCCCGGGCTGTGTTAGGAACTTATCGATGACGCGACTTAGATATTGGGCCAATCTCTCCGACTTGCCCGGATCCGAAACGATTATATTGCTGGCATTATATGGCGAGCCGATTATCACCTGTTGAAGCACTTGAATATCTGCACCCAGCCAGTTTAAGTCCTTGTTGCTAAAGTGCTTCGAAAGGTATCTGTATAGAGCCTGTCCCACAGCACTCGCCTGGGGATTGCAGCTTTTTAAAAATAAGCGACGCTGCTCCAAATTGTGGGACAAACGTTGTTGCAGCTGTTGGTTAAAAAATTTTTATCAAACTTGTGTTTTATTGCAGACTGCTTCAAATTTTACTCACGAGCGACAAATTGAGACGAGCTGGCGTCTCCGGGGACGCTGGCGGCTTAGCTTCTTCCAATATTTCCACTTCCTTGCACAGTGATAGATTCACAATAGACATATGACACAGTTTCTGTTGATCCCCAACGGCGGTTGTGTTGTCCAAGCCGGTTCGAGGACATTTCAGCATCAGCATCTTCACACTATGATCAAAGGCTGTCACCTCCCCAGTTATGACGTCATCAAAACAACTAATGCAACGCACAATGGAGCCCACATTGAAACACGGCATCATTGCATTGGCTACCGGAGTGCTCGACATATTTTTGTTTTGCACAAATAATGCGTTAAAAACGATCCTTTCCTAGAAAAGCTGGATTGATGCCTATTTCTGGGCCTACTGGAATAGTTGACTACTTTTACTTTAAAAGTTAGGCTCGCTAGACTTAAATTATCAAATTTTAAACTTCCTCGTACCTTTTCAACCCACGCCAATTAAAATAGCGCGCGAAATAAAATATATATTCATGTGGACAGTGTTTGAAAAGATCTCGCATCCACCAAAAGTCCCGAATGTACCCAAAAAAAAAACAGAAGCTTTTTCTATCTAAAAGGGTACCGTGTACCCGCAGCTTTGTCTGTACGAAGTCCTGCCAACAATCAGGGAACCAAAACTAATTACAGCTTGATATTTTAAAATAATTGTTTGTTTCTTTTCCTAACAGTCAGCGAACGCATTTCCTTAAAAATTACATATGTATGTATGTAAGTTCACTATTTTTTGTTTACATAACAAATACCTCAGATAATCACTTTAGTGTTTTTTAACACTACACAACAGGCAATTGCAGCGACTTGTAGGATTCGTTCGATTTGTTGATGAGCTGGAAATCAGCTGTTGGTTAACTGTTTTTCATGACGCAATTCCTTGAAGAAATGCAGAAGGGTAAGTGCAAATAACATTTTAGTAAAATTTTTTGTATATTATAGTAAAATAGCTGCCTATTATTTGGAATCCATCCGACAGATACTAATGAAACTACTTCTGCTGAAACCACTTAATATACAAAATTATTTGGTAACTAACATTTAAATTTTTAATAGATTTTATAATAATACTAAAAGAATTACTGCATTTGTACAAAATACGACTGTACGCAGAATCTACGAGTCCAGCTTTTTCTAATCAGTCCCCCGATTTTGGGATTGGGTCTTCATCTGAAGAATAAGATGATCTAAGATAGTTTTTATTAAAAATAATGCTGAAAGACGTGTTACAAACCATCTGTTTATATTACAGAATCATCTTCTTAGGAGGGATAAATTCGATAAAAATTCTGCAAAAACAATGATCTGACCACAGCATATGTTGATTGATTTTCCTGTAGATATGTATGTCGATTGATTTTCCTGTACATATACAACTTTTAGTCGAGGTTAACTTCAAATAAAAATACTTTGTTAAATATACTCTTTGACTATCACACTACCTCTATATCACAATAAACTCAAATTAGTATTTGATTTATATCCCATAAGTCCTATATAATTCTCTTTATGGCAGTGCCTGGCCTTTTTGTAACCACTTTTTATGAGCTTAAAAATCTTACAAAAAACTCCCCTGATTTATAGTGATTTCCAACGCCTTACTTTATCAATTATTATGACACAGTAGCGTGACTTTGTTATTTTTTATCGTTCATTAATTTAGTTTCAGGACTCATCTTGCTCTTCAACACACTGAGGTTTACCGATATTGCATATATGTATGTACATAACTTTAATTGTAATTAAACTGCCCATCATTCAAGGTTCTCATCACCGTTCACCAAATTTTGGCAGATGACAGTATCCATAAAAAAGTTATTACAATTTCGGAAACACTTATATACCTTGACCCAGATAACTAATGAATTAAGATTGTATAATCCAAAGATGATGCGATTAGTAAATCGTAGTAGATCCTGGGACCGAATTTCCAATATCTTTAAATTTGAGGTCAATAGGTGTATAGCTTTTAGAGTTTTTACATTACAGACAAAAGAACATTTTTTTTTAGAGTTTCCTTGTAAACAAATTAAACCTCAAATTTTATTGTTTTTGTTTTGCAAATTATAAAAAATGTATTTAACTATGAAGACAACTTTAGGGATAGCTTTTGAGTTCCTAAAAATATGCAAGTCATACTCTTTCGGAGTGTTAAGCATTCCAAATATGAAGACATTTTAAGTTTTGGAAAATTAAAGAGATAACTTTATAAGTCCTATAACCCTTAAAGCTGATTTAGGAGCTCCAAAACATTAGGTATAGTTTTGTTAAATTACAAAAAAATAATTCTTAGCTTTAAATAGCTTTTGAGTTCCTAAAAACCTGCAAGTCTTCAGCACTCTTTCGAAGTTCCAAGCAATCTGATTCGGAATATTAAATTAAATTAAAATTATTAAATTAAAACTTTAGATATGCGAAACATCTTCAAGCTATATACTATCAATGACAAACCCCTCTTAACCACCGAAACAGTTTTTTGCACTGTTTCAATACACAGTTTATTATTTTCGTTTATTCATTTTTATTTACAGTGTATGCTAATAAATTTTATGTACTAAATATAAATGTTGTGTATATATAGTATATGTTTCAAAAGTAAATTTCTATATACGAATTTGCCGTTTTTCGTTTGTTTTTGTTGTTGTTGTTCTTGATTAGCATTTGCTTTTGCTGTCTAAATGGGTTTACATGAGCGCTTTCTTTTGTTTTTCTCAAAAGACATTTAATAATTAATTGTATTTAATATGTAAATATGTATGTGTGTGTACATATGTACGTTTATTAGCATTAGCATACCCTTTCTTCATATTACATATGTATGTATGTATATATAGTTCTAACGCCAATATTCCGGTTCTAGATTATGTTGAAAAAAGTGCATCGATAAATTCTGTTGCGATGGCAAATCAAGGAAACGTATTTTTTAATAATAATAAAAGCAAAATAGAAGTAAGCCCTTGGACAGATAGCTGAAATAAAATTTTGAATATGCGCCCCACAGAGAATAAATATCAACGATTTTATTGGACGAACACACAGAAAACGAATTTGACAATAAATTAGCGCAACATAAAGAACTGTACAATAAATGAGTATGAAATAGAAAAAATATCGCGCTTAGCTAATTAAAAGAAGGCTTTTACTATTATCTAGAGTTTGGACAAACTGCCAGTAAGTTTTCCCTTTTTAGCACTTTAAGTTTTTCGTAATTATTTTAATTTACTTTTAGCAAGTGTATGACACACTAAATTGTTGTTTGCTCTTGCTTTTGAAATATTTTGCGTTTTCCATTTCTTTAAGAATATGTTATAGTTTTAGTAATTAGGTTTATACTAACATCTTAAATATGCATTTAAAAATCACTTTAAATAGGGCTTGGTTTACGATTTTGCTAAATTAAATTTATAAAGATTTGTTCAACATGAATAATTCGTTACGAGATGCGATAAAAAATGAATTTTCTTTCTTTCTATCTGCTTTTACTGTAAAGAGAGTTGATGAGATTTTTCTGTTGTTATTGCTGTTGTGGGCCATCTATATATGCATTTACTATATCTTCGGATATTGATTTGTTGTTGTTGGTTGCTGCTTTATGATTCAACGTGAGGGAGGAGGGTTTATGTGTTTTAATATCAAAAGGAATGATATATATGTATATAGTATGTATAATATAAAAATAAAACAATGCACTTTCGTTATAGCTGGTGCCCCTATATTCTTACATAGGCCCATCAATGGCGCTCACTTTAAGGCGGAAATAGTAAACAGAACGTGCCAACATGCTGGCGGCAACAAAAAACAAAGCAATATAAAGAATATACATGCCGCCATGATCCTGCAAAGATAAAGATTAAATATATTTCACATTTAACATCTGAATAATCGTGAATGAAATGTAACGAACTTACCGCTGCATACGAAACTGTGCCAACCGTAACGCCGATGCCCGCAATCAGGAAGAGCACAGCCATAATGGCAAACAGAGATCCGCGCCCGTTGGCGAAACGCGATCCCACCGACGACACTTTTCTGCAGTGTGGACAGCGAGCCAGAGCATTGTGAAAGGTGTTAAACTATCCGGTGAAGAAAGGAAAAAATGTACGTTCATAAGAAAGTGCCCATATAATAGTTGAAGCAGAAGTTTTAAAATCTGTGTAGGAGCTGGACCTGATTCGACTATGCGCATACCCTATACTATTCGATTTTGAGACAATTGACTATAGAATTGATTCCACTTCTGGTTACATCCATGTAGGATGTCACACATTTTAGAAAATAGTCAAACAATTGCATCCTACATCTATCCTGAATATGGTCTTAGTGGTTTTAAATGAAGAAGAAAAACGTTCGAAGCAAAAATAGTAAATTTCAATCGAAACTCTAAGTAGATAAGCAGAAAAAGCACGATGCTCGCAATACATTTCCTTCGGGTGAAGAGCTTGCCAATCTGTTGTTACGCTGTTAAAAAATGTTGACTGCCGCTGACGACTTGCTTACCAAAAATGTGTCCGAGCAATGACCACAGGTAACACGGCACATGCCCGGCATGGCGGGGACGGGGGGTGTTACGGGACTTGGTGCCAGATTGATGATGCGCTTACAATTGGGCCTGGGACAAGCGATGCGTTGCGATGAGCTCTTGCAGATTAACAGACAATTGCATGGACAACGCACGTACTTCTTGCCAGGCGGTGCATTCCGTATGGGCTGCAATTTCAATTGAGATGGTAAATATGTATGAATATAGATAAATATTGATATTACTTACAGTGGCCTCATTGCAATGAGTGCACTTAACCACATGCTGTTCACGCTTGGTCGTAATGTCGATCATATTTTGGCAGACGCGACAGGTGACCATCGGGACGCCGGTACCACTGCTCTGCTGATACGGTGGGGGCAGTTCATCGGGACCAATGAAGGGCACCGACTGTGCTGCCGTGCCTGGAAAAAGTCATAGTACAATGAATAAGGATTGAATGAAAATTTGTTATAAATTCGGAGTTGTTGCTGATGATACACTATAAGTAAAGAAGTTCAAAAATTTGTTTGCAATACCGAAGTACCGGCATCAATGATAAATGCAGGTTGATTTTTTTTTTTTAATGTGGGGTGATGACCTGAACCTTTTGTGTAGAACAAGTACATGTTGCTTTAAGAAGCGCTATGCTTGTACTGCAGATTCTGTAGCCCAGCAGCCTCCGCCTCAAGGCGAGCTTTGATAGTGTGGGTTGCGGGCTGTAGGCTGTGGGGTTGATAAATGTAAGTGGGTCAATGTTTGGGCGCATGAATGCAACGCGCCTGTCTGTCCAACCGACCACAGTCATTAGAATGATGCATTTGTGCCACATTTCTTACAGCGTTCGATCAATAAAGCAGCGCGAAAACTGAAGGCAAACAAGTTCAAACTTTGTGCAAGAATCTTTGGCTATAAATAGCGGTGCAGTCAAAGGGCTGGCCGGATTGTGATATGCGCTTGGCACTGATCAGGTTTGTCACTCCATTGGCATTGCTTTGCATCAGTTTCGGGAGGGGATGGCTGGGTCTTGTAGCAGCGATAACGGTTAAACAGGCATATGAGTCACGTAAAAACAAAAGATTGAAACAGCTGTACGGCACTCTACAGAGATACGAAACCATAAACAAAACAATGAATGTGAATGCGTGTTTTTCTTCTTTTTTTGGTTAGGGTTTCTGTTACCAATGCGAAGTGCTGGGCGGGCGGAATTATGTGATGAAGTGGGGGGTGGTGGTCGAAGTTGCTCTCTTATGGAGCATGACTCAGAGTTTAGGAAAGTGTGAAAAATCTAAACAAGAAACATACAACTACTAATCGCGGACAACTTCAAATCAGAGTTGTTGTTGTCGAGTTGGGCGCACACTTGTTGGGTTTCCAATGCGCGCACATACCGGCACACCCGCACATCACACGCACATCTGCATGCACACCTATGTTGCTGACATCGCCCCCGCCCTCTATAGCGATATAAAATCAAATCTCTACAAATAACGCACCATCGTCATTATTGGCTGCAGCACTGCTCCCTGGCTTCTCGGTTCCTTCATCCACAGCCGAGGAGGAATTGTACATCGGCTCCTCCTTGTTGATCAGGCTTTGTCTTTCGGGATCAGCCATGCTGTTTTTTGCTGTTGTTGCTCTTCTTTATAAGCTGCTGTTGTTGCACTTTTGCCTCGCAACTTCCGTTAATAGTGGTAGTAACAGTACGACCGACCGACCCAAATTTCTGTTAATTGCTTAGCCTGAGCCGCAACGCAAATGCTTCAACTGGAAATATAAATGGGAGTGGAAAACGAAATTTGATTTAATATTATTGGATTTGATTTTTACACTTAATAAATATGCCTGTAATGCGGCGAATAATATGCTCTTTGTTTCTCATTCACTTGTTTTTCTCCTATTTGTTTTTTTCTCTCTTGCACTCATTCGCGAAATAGATGTGGAATCCTCCCTTTTCCACGTACAGATGCAGGCGCCTTAGTAATCAATTTTTATGCATTTCAGTGCGTGATTGTAAAAGCCAAGCACCTAAAATGTTATACGAATGTATGCACCCCAGCTTCTGAATGTTGATTGCATATTACTTTTTTCCGTAAACCTACTATATTTTACCTTATTTTTGTTGAATTGTACCAGCACAGCGTAGCTAGAAACGGTGATGCCCACTTGTGTGAACTAGTAAGCTGCAGTGTTGTAAGCCCGCGTGCATAGTTCCCATGTAGAGTTGTCAGCTGGTATTAGATGGCAGATTGTAGACCGCACCCGCCGCCTAAAAATGGCCAAAACGAGCAGACAATTGACAGTCGAGGAGCGAATACACCCAAACAATAGCGAACTATCAAATAACAACAGTCCAACTCCCATACATGACGATGGCAGTTCAAGTGACATTGAAACACACCGTATCAACCAAAGTTCGCGTCGCAGATTGAGAAAGACCCGCCAATTAACACAAAGTGCCGCATTTCATGCGCTGCCCTTGATGTATGACGGAACTGTAGTAGCTGAGCACGGATCGGCTATTGCAACACGCGATCTAACGTTCAACAGCTCACAAATTATTGCAGATAGTACGGACACAGACTTTCACATCTCCGATGCGAGCAGCGGCGATGACCGGCGTAATAACACAATAATGTTCAAGGCCCAACCCTTGGAGAAGTGCAGGGCTTCCAAAAAAAGACGTAGATGCCACAAATAGCGTAGATTGTAATTTGTATTTCAAATGCAACTGCATTTTTGTAGAATTGAACGCCAACTTTCGATTGCAGCAGCATGTTTTCCAACACTATACCAGGGCAGCAGATTGATGTGTGCATTTTGGAGTAGTGGTCAGTTTTTACGCGTATTGAAATATTCATATGCAATTTTTATGTAAATAAACTAAATTAAACGTAGTCAAAACATTTGAAAACTGTAAGTTAATAGTATAGGCCTGTGTGGCATATCAAAAAACAATGAATGCTGCGCGAATTGGATAGAAAATTGAAGCAAAAGTTCGTGATGATTTCATTTTCGCATGCGTTGTATGGGAAACTTCGTCGTAGTTTCGCTTGGCGCTGCTTAGCACTATCATAGCTGTTGTTTTTGTTGTTATTGGCAAAGGTACGGGAAAGCAGTAAATGGTGGAAGCGACGACGTCAAATATGTTTACAAATCTGGGCAGCGTGCAGAACCATATATGGGCGCCAAACAACAAAGCGAGAATGTGGAGAACACCTGTTTTCTAATTGATTTTTCCGACAATTCCATTTTCAGATCATTCACTTCCATATCTGTGTTTTCTACATTTTTAACTACTGGTATTAAAAGCGATAGAAGCACAAAAACAACAATAAAATCAACACACGCACCATCACCATCCAATCAGCCGTTTTGAAAAAAGATTCAAAGTAGTAAAACATTCGAGAATAGAAACGAACGAAAACATTCAAATTCATTTTGACCACCGATAAGTACACAACAAATTCAGCGCAGAAAATGGAGTCCCCACCAATGTTCAACAGTGTCGAGGATGAGTGTAGATATTGGAAAGAGCGTTCCAAGCTCTACCACAAAGAGTAAGACTTTCAATGTTTTTTACTAATGTGTACATAAGGATATAAAAATATATACGAATCTAACATAGATGGACAGACGTAAAGCAGGAGTTCGATGAATATGTGGAACAGTCACGCGAAATGGAGGCTGAAATGGACGCCACTCTGGAGCAGAAACAGAGTATTATTAAAGATCTCAGAGCCAAGCTTAATATGATAGAAAAAGAAAACGAGTCCTTAAAGGTATGTGTGTGATTAAAATAAAATAAAAATGAACCAGAAGATTAATAAATTAAGTACAGCTCAAGCTGGACTCACACGGCATTGAAATGTCAAATCTAGAGAAACAGCTGGACACGGTTAAAAAAGATCGTGATTCCATGCGAGAATATCTACGGCAGTTGGAGCAGAAAAACGATGACCTTGAACGTGCGCATCGTATTCTAAATGAGAGCATAGTAGACTTTGAGAATATGTTAGACAAAGCCTATGAAAAGAATGCCCTGCTCGAGATGGAGGTGGACGAGAAGGAGGTTTTACAGGAGAAGCTGCAGCGGTTAATGGAAGAAACGCGTGGTAAGCATTCCAATGTTTATTACATGATTTATCTATTTATAATCTTGGGGCTATTGCAGATTTAAAGCAAGAGCTAAATGTAAAGTCACGTTATACACCCGCAAATGGAACAGCAGCGGCCAACAGCTCCATGAACTCATCCGCCTCCTTGCCCAATGGCATTGTAGCCAATGGCGATATAATGCAGCACGATGCCGCCATGAAGGCCACCAGCGTTATTGCACTAAACAGCACTATAGCTAATAAAAACGAATATAATCAACAGCACTCGCTTAAAAGTAAGATTTTAAAGTCACTTAAAAGAACTAAGCGCGCCCTAAAATTTACCCGATTATCTCGACGCGTTAAGCATTGTAAATAATTCCACATTATCATCCAGTTTTATATGTATTTGTGTCTCATTCTCAGCCATTTTCGTAAACTAATAGGTACACACATTTTTTAAGTATAGATAAGGTTTTTTTCTTTTTAATTTTTATTTATGGCTGTTACGTTTAATGCCATTGTCAGAAAATTTTATTTGATTTTGTATGTTTTTGTTTTGTAAGACATTAAATTTAAGCCCCAAACCAACCAAAATTAATTTTGCACCATTTCTTGTAGATATCTAAGCCATGTTTTTATGTTTTGTGTGCGTTTGTAGTTATAAACTAAACTAAAGCTTTTGTTTTTTCTATAAACTAACCATTTTGTGTGTGCTCCCCCTTTTGCAGATCCCGAAAATCTAATCAATGGCAACGCCATGAATCCAAGTTCTCGTGCAACAGCGCTCAACATTGTGGCCGACATGTTAAGAAAATTGAACGTAAGTAGCTCGGAAACATTAATTCCCAACCATTTCCTATTCTCACCCACTTCAATAAGTTGTGTTTGTATATTTTGTGTTTCTTGTGTTTTTTTCTGTACAACTGTTGTTTCTCCATATGTTCTTTTATAGTGGGATAAAGCCTTAGTATGCACTGAATGTGAAAAGTTTCGCTGTGCTTGCGAGCGGGCGACAGCAACATCGCCAGTCAGCGAATCGTCCTCTAGTCTCTTTAGGCGTGCGTTCGGTGGCAGCAACAATTTTTCATTTGCAACAAACACAAACATAGCCATGCCCATCACGCCCAACAGCGAGTGCAGCGCCAGCAATAGTCCGATGACAGACAGCAATACTTCACTGAATCGAAGTAGCTTGTCAAGCCTAAATTTTGGCACAAACATTTTTAAGCGTTTCGCAGAACGTCTGAGAAATGTCAATGAGAGTGCTGGCATTAATACGGAGGCTGTTATCCTAGCAGCGTCGCCCGCATCGCCAGCGCATTAATTGACACGCAAATCCATTTCTTTTTAACATTTTGCTTTGCATTTATTAATGTTTTTTGGTTAATAAATACGAATTTGTACATTTAATTCCATAATTATTTGTTTATTATTTATTGTTTATTATATAGAATCGTTTAACCAGTCAGTTTCGAAAATGCATTTTGTATGCCTAAGGCATAGTGGGCATTAAAAATTAAGTTCTTAAATATATTTTTTCCATCAGATTGCTACATTTAAAGTAGTATAATATATATAAAAGACTAAATTCTTTTGACGCAAAATTAATAACAGAAATTATTTTGGTTGCTGCCTCGCTTTCACTTTTTTTAAAATTACATTCACATTAAATTTTGTATAATTGCGGAATCGAATTCGGAAATGAAATGAGGCTTAATATACTTTACTATTTGTTAGCAACGAATTCGCAATTGAATTGGAAATGCTAAAAAGTGAATTTGAAATGGTTATACTGTTTTAATTACTAAAAAGTTAAAACACTATTCGCAAATTATTTGCGAACTTTTGTTCAAATGTTGAAATCGTATGGAAAGCTTTTAGAAAAAGATAATATCTAATTCTGATAGAAATGCAATATGTTTTTCTGCATTTTTTGTTTTGTGGCTACACCCCTAATTATTTTATTGTTATCTCTTGCAGGCTATAGAGACGAAGCTGAAGACTTATCGCGAGCACGCGGCGCCGGTGGGGCCGCGGCAATGACAACAACCACAACACCACCACCAACAACAACAGCAAACAGTACAACATATGACTGGGCACAGCTGCAGTTCAATGGTCGTCGCAGGCGCGCCGTTGGATTCTGAGGCGAGCAGCTTACGGCTATTGGAGTAGCACTGGCCGCCAAATATCTAACCACACAAAGCAGGCATTGCTTCCTGTTCTTCATCTCATGCATCCTTCTTAACTTTGTGTTTGCCAGGCGTTGGAGTTGAAGTTAAGGTTGGCGCCAATTAGTTTCTTAATTATATATTTGTGTTTTATTTATTTGATTTGTGAAGAAACACAATTTGCGATACGATGTGTATGTTTTTGGTTTGTTTGTTGCTATCGGAGCTCCAACTACAGCCTGTGGATGCCGCCTTATTCATAGACTAGGCAATAGTTGTATGCGAACTATTTTAAGTCAATTTGTTGACAATTCTAATTAGCAAACAAATTATAAAACTTGATGTTAGAGATGTTAAGCAGTGAGGTATATAATGTTTAATTATAATGGATTATGGGAGCTTAGTAGCGGCATACATGAAATGTAATTAGTTTGTAGAATACTTAATGACAAAAACGAACATAAGTGTAGGAATTAAAACGATAAAATACGGCCAAGTATTTCAAATAAAATGGTCTTTAAAACTTGCCTACAATGCAGCTCCAAATGGGTACATTAATATATACACACATATATAAATATACACAAATAAATAAATATTTATTATTATGAAGCAAAATACTCGTACCATAATTTAGGACAAGAGTGGCCGACACTTAAGCAAAAGACACATTGACAGTAACAGTTGTTAAGTTCCATTTAAACAGACAAAAACGAAGCTAATACAAATGTGTTTAGTTAAATCTATTAGTTTTTAAGTCGCACATACATTAATATATACACCCAAACATTTGTATACCAAGCCTTTAATGCCCGCCCAAAAAACAACAAACAAACAAAAAAAAAAACACAAAAACAATGAATTTCTTTAAATCGAATATACATAAATACAATTCACAGTTTATTTTTTCTATTGAAACAATTATATTATATATATGATGTATGTATATTTATTGTATTGTATTGAATTAGTATTGTATAAACAAAACAAACAGAATTAAAAACGATTGTGCGCGCGCTAATGTTTCAAATAAAGAGAGATATGTATTTAGTTTTAATAGAAAAGGCAATATCCAACCGAGCTTTAAATTATTATTATTTTGTGTGCTCTTTAATTGCAATTTGACTTCGTATGTAATAAATGTGTAATTAATTAGCAATAATTATTTGCGCTAATTTCGCAAGGGGCCCTCAGTTGCTATGTCAAGGCCAAATATGGCCCCAAGCATACTCCATCATGGCCAGCTACCGTTGTAATGTGGTTAAAAAGCTTTGCATTACTGAGCTTTCTTGTTGCATTTCCCCTCCAACATTTTTAGTACACGCTGTGCGGGTCCGTTATAGCAATAAAGCTTTAACGCCTCTTCCCCTGCGTGAAATTGTTGTCTGGGTTCTTTTTTATTTTGCCTTATTATTTATAGTAGTTGATGTTACTGTTGTTGTTGTTGCCCATTAGGCTTGCTATCCAGTTTCCAAAGGCAGAATGAAGGTAAAGTCGACCTTGTTGTGCGATAATTCTGCATGTGGGTTAAGGATAGACTGCTTCTGAGGCGGCTGTTGAGGCTGTGGGCAGAGCGGTAAGCTAATGAAAGTGCTTTGGTTTTTGAAGTAAGGCAGGAAGGCAGGGCTGTCTGCTCTCTCACTCTCTAAATACATATGTATGTATGTGTGTGTGTGTGACATTGAGCGGGAATATTTTTAATAAACAACAACTACAACTAAAAAAGCAGCATAGTGACGACACCGTAGATGCATCAAAAGAGCAGCAAAAGGAAGAAAAAGCTTTTATCATACGCATGCCACTTAACGTGGGTAGACGTAGACAAGTGTCCAACTCTGGTTGTTGCTGTTGTTGTTGCCCGTGCTGAGTGCATTGTTTATTTTTGCGCAACGGAGCCGTACTCGGAGCAACCGTAGCCATAAGCGGATTGAAAATGGTGCAATGCAATTGGCGTTTCAAATAAAACTGCAGAGCAAAGCAAATGCAGACACAAAGCCAGGCAAGTGTACGCACGTGTGTGTGTGGGTGAAGGCGAACACAGTGGCCATCTCCATAAGCAACTTTGTCGAAACGTTTTATTTTTTTTTTAATACTTGAACTAACGTATGTGCAATATTTTCTAGCGCCTACCAACTTTTGGTATTTAAATTTTAGAAATATTCGACACCTAATATATAACATACAATTTCAATACACTGATAAAAAAAACCGCGGAAATTTCAATATTTACACGTCGATTTAACTATTTTTACCATCGATTTTGCACCATCGTGTATTTTAGTAAATAGTAAATTTTAGTAAAAATATTAACTTTACAGTGTGACGATATTAAATCACAAGTGATGATGTGGAGACGTGGGTTTGATTCACGCCCAAGGGTTTATTTTTTATAATTATAAAATATTTTTCAACTTTTTTGCCAGCTATACTGGTTTTTTAACTCTTTTCAATAATGACATTTCCATAATGCATATTTTATTTATATATTTATAGTTATATATTTTGTATAAACCATTTTTAGCAGAAAGTACTTTTAAAATTCTTTTCTTTTTAGTATGGAAATAGTTTGGATCAATATTAATATTAAAAATGAAGGAGCAGCTGATTATTTAATTAATGTTTATTTTTTCTATTTTTGTCTAACTTGAATATTTCACACGAGAACTAAAACTAAACTAGTACGTATATCCTTTTGCCCTCTGGGTAAAAGGTTATAAAAATACTATAGAAATTATAAGACGAAGAAGCAATTATTTTGGCCCTAGTGCTATATTTCATTGATACGCCGTTGGTGTTCCACCTGCAGGCGCGCTGGATCTTCATTCTGGCCACCATCTGCCTGCTGAGGCGCATGGATCTATGCCTGAGGTACGTGCGTTGCTTGCCCGTTCGGGCTCATCTGGGCGTCGAGATTGTGGTCTCTGTGATAGTGATGGAGCTGTCGGGAAATGTTATTTGGTGCTTCATAGAGAGCCAGTCTGGTGGTGCATCTCAGCGGCTGGTGTGTGGCGCGAGTGGCTGGAGAGCCTGTGCCCTTGGCCATGCACCATGCTGATGTCGATTTTGACGCCCAAATAGGCCCTGCTGGCCGCCCACTTCGATCTGCAACTGGCACGGATTGCCCCCTATTTGCTTATTTTGCACCTGTATTGGCTGATTTTCTGGGAATATCTGACTATGGGATTCGCTGCTGCTTTATTTACTTCGCATCTTGCATATTAAGCCCCATCGTCAGATAATGGGCAACCGACTATACAGTGAAACGGAAGTGTAGGAAGACGGTGGCGATCCTGCCGTGCTTTCTTCATCGGCTTCCAGTAACGTTGCCTACAAACGCATAAGGAGTGGTTTTAAGTAAATGTGCCGTACCGAATAAATTTTGGATTTTAAATATCTAAAATAATTTCATGTTGTAAACTACGAGTAAACTTTTGGAATGTCATTTACAAAACAAATTGAGCATTTTAAATCAAAATTAAATTAAACAAATATCAAAGATTGCTGCGTTTTTACAACTAAGATTAATAAATTAGTTTCTTCCCTATACGAACATTTTGGTACTATGTATTTGTATTAACTAATCTTTTTATTATTAAAAATTGGTTTAATGATTTGTTTGTTTTTATTTATTTATCTTAGATTTACAAATTAATTCTATACCTGTTCGAAATACTTTTTAAAAGCTGCCATATTTGTTTGCCGCCAATTTTTGCTATTGAATTCTTCGAACAATTTAACGTTTAATATATGCATTTCATTAAAAAAATATTTTATTTATTCATGAAACAAAGTTAACATTAATTGTAAAAGACAGAGCCTTACTGCAGCTAAATATGCCATTAAGTATATTTTTATTTGTTTTTTAAATAGGTTAGGAAATATTTGAAAATTTTATTATTCATTTGAATTATTTTGAGCATAACAAAAATATTGGTATATAATATTTTTACAGCTAAAAGTATTGTAAATATTCAAATGCATTCAATAAAATCATATAAATTTAATTAAGGAAGCAAAATATATTTAAATATTTAAATTCACAGTTGGCAAGTAATTATGTGTGCAACCATATGTTGAGAAAAATATCATATTGAATTTAATTTATATTTTAATTATTAATTTATATTTTGAAGTTATTCAAATTAAAGACTATTTGTTTCATATGAGCTGTATATTAATCTAGTACGATAGACTGTTGTTAAAATCAATTTTTATATAGTACATACCCTGTTCTTGAGGGCAAAAGG